ATCGTTTATCTAACACTTAGAGAAAGCAAAAGTATGGTCTGGAGGCATAGCTCAAGTGATAGGGCATCTGCCTACTCCATACCTCCAAAAGAGAGAGAAAGAACGAAAGTATGATTCATGGCAGGAGGTATGAGTCAGCAAGTGAGAACTGAATAAGGAAGGAATTAAGACCTGGACACCAAACAAGGGAGACTTCTAGAAAAGGAGCATTACTTGCCTGCTGTACCATATGTGGGCGTGGGATAGATGTGCCAGTGTTTTCTAAGAGTTATTTTTAAGAGCTATCCCTCACACCAACACACACCCCTTTTCTGCACCCATTCAGGGCTCAGTTCCAAAGGTGCATCCCCATTTCCCAACCTCGTGTTCCCTCAAAAAACTGTCTCTCCAATCTGTGAAGGACAGCTGTACTCTACCCCAGCTAGACAGAGGAGGGATTGCGCTCCTCCAGACCCAGGCAGGAGCAACACAAGGGCATTGCTGTAGCCCTAGAGCCAAGCCAAGAAGCCTCCAGAACCTTGCCTTTAAAAGCAAGATCATCCTCATAATCACCTAGCCCTGTGGGCATCACCAGCACAGACTGCGACTAGAGAAAGGAGGAGTCAGAAGTTCTTAACTCAAAAGTCCTGTCCTAGCCACCACTTCTCAAAAATCTGCTTGGCTGTGCAGCCCCCCACCATCTTCCACCTACTGTTCTGCCCAGAATCCTACATCTGTTCTTCACATGAGACAACAAAGATTTGTTTCCCATTATCATCCACTTCTGGTTCGGCCTTTCTTGCACTTAGCCCAAAGCTCTAAGAGGAGCTAAGATTCAGTTGGCCACTTGGTCACTATGCCCAACACCAAAATCCCTGGACCCCAGTAGATACCCAGGAAATTTTTGAATGAGAATAAATAAAATTAGGCTTCCAACTCTGTGCAGGTTCAGTGTCCGGAGACCTTCAGAAAGCCTTCCCCCTTTCCATTCTTATTTTCCATCTTCCCAACCTCTCCCAAACTACCACACTCTACTCTATGAAAGGCCGACTTTATAATCTGGAAACTTCCTTATCTCCCCTCTCCACTTCTGAGAAGTTCCTTCCCCTGCTCTTCTTTACATCCTGCCACATCGCTGCCTCGTGGAGACCTCTCATTCTCTCCACCCCATCTCCTCTTTGGATCTCTTGTAATGCTACTTACACAGCTTTCTCCTTCCCCACCAAACCCCCATTGCATTGGATCCGCCACCTCCTGCTCCTAGTAACTCTTCTCCACTCACTTCCCTGGCCAACTGAACTCATTCCTGTAAGAATTTGCCGCTTACCTCATCTACTCTCTCCTCAGAATTTAGCCATAGTGTCATCCAGGGATGACCCAGGTAACGCCTTGAGCTCCACATTTCCAAAAACCTTTACCTCTACTGCACCCCAGCCACTTACCTCTGTGGCCACATCTTGAATTTTGTCATCATGTGAAACCATTCTACCTACAAAAGCACCTGTTCAACATCCTAATTTCCATCCCCATTCCTCAACCTTCCTGCCTCACTCATTTATTCCCAATACCACTCATCTGACTTCATCAGCACCTCCAAACCATTGGTAGCTCTACTCTGTCCCTTTCTCCCAATCCTTTCTGGTCTCCATGTGGGCACATTCTGTCAAAGAGTTAAGCTGGATACAGTGGCATACACCTATAGTTCCAGCTACCCAGGAACCTAAGATGGGAGGATCACTTAAACCCACAAATTGGAGCTCAGCCTGACCAAATCTGAGAGACCCCATCCCACAAAATAAAAAAAATGGGCTGGAAGTGTAGCTCAGTGGTAAAGAACTTTTCTAGGATGCATGAGAGTTCCAAGTTCAATTCCACACCTCAAAAATAGGCAGAGGGGGAAAAAACATTAAAAAAAAGAACAAGGAAAAGAAAACAAAAATATTTAAAATACAAAAACTGAAAGAAAAGCAAGCAAAAAAATGGGGTGGGGCAGGGAGGAAAAAGACAAAAAAGTTGACAAAACAGTCGCCAAATTTTTCTAAATTTTATTAAGACTACATTTTTAAAAAAACCCAGACAGAATGGACACAGTAAAACCATACAATATCATCCATATAAAATCATACAAAGTTGTTTAGGAATATACACATAGGATAAAAATAGTAGTCTTTGCTCCACTTCCTACATGGGGAGCAGGAAATGGTTTTTTTTTTTTTTTCCATTTCTCCCCACTTTTATCCTGTTATTTTACTAACTTCTTTGCCTAATAAACTTTACTATTACTTTTACTATAAAAAAATTTTGGACATGATTCTCCAAAATTCAGGATCGTGGTTATATCTGGGGAGGACAAAAAGCTTCAAATGTGTTAGTAAATTATTCAAGTGACCTAAAGGGTAAATATTTATTAAATTGCATATATATGTATATACATATATAATTGCATATATATATAAATTTTTGCCTGATAGGATCACAATACATAGAAAGTTTGCCCACTTTTCTTCAGTTACTTACAATAACACGAACCATTCCCAGTAACATTTCTAATAACATCCCTCCTCTACTAGATCGTGAGCTCTGCATAGGGAAGAGCCTGTTTGGTCTGTTTTCTCCCCTCATCTATTCCTTGACAAATGATGGGACACCAACCAGAACTCTCTTCTTTCATCCCAACAATAAGCAATTTGGCCTGTTGGCCCTACCCACAGAACTGGTTGTGTGAATCAAGTGGGACAAAAGTCAGAGACCAGCCCTAGCTCATTGAATCTAAGATGGCCTGCTCCATGAAAAGGGCCTGGTACCCAGCCATGGATGAAAGACTTCAGCACCTCAAACCTCACTCAGTCTCGGAGCCAGTGATCTACTCACAAGGGAGCCCCTTGTGCCTATTTTTTAGTAATGGTCACTCTGAGTTTGCAGCATGCGTGATGAGGTCAGTGTAGAAGGGAAGGCAGGGGCCAGCACAGCCAAAGCTGTGGGACTTCCCCAGAGGCCCAGAATCAGTTTGAGCCTGCAGAGGCCTGGTTCCTCTCCTCGATAGCACAGAGCACATTCAGATCACATCTATAACCTTTCTGCTCCACAGACGATGGTTTCATGTACATCTGAATCTTTAGGGTCCAACCCAGGGCATGATCAAAGGTCTATGTCCAGGAAATTGAAGGCACAGCTAGCTCTAACTCAGGTACCTCTTTGGGAAGTCTATTCTTCCCTGATACATCTTTTAGTTGTCTGTGCTCCTCACTGTGGGTCTGCACAGCCTTGGGTCTGTGTAGCAGAAGTACATGGACTGACTTTTCTCAGCACTTGCCCAGTGTTTCCTCTTCCTGGAATGTTCTTCCCTCCTCACTCACCTGTCAGTTTACTTCAACGCTTGAGGGATAACTAAATGTTAACATTTTTTGTAGTGCTGGGGATTGAACCCAGGGCCTTGAGCATGCTAGGTGAGCACTCTGCCACTGAGCAGACACTGGTGAGACATCATTTTCATATTTTTCTATACTTCTATGAATATATATTTAGCATAAGTTAATTCAAACTCTTTGTCAAGTAGGTCCAGTATCTTTGGATTTCCTCTTCCTCAAGGACACCGTTGTATTGAGATTCTTATTGGAGTCAAGAGTCATCTCCCTCCAGATGCTCTCTCTAATCTTCCTCTTTGGGAGCTCCTCTTCCTTATGGCCACTCCATCAGGGTGGACCTCCCTGCCCGAGACAAAGATGTCCCTTCAGCACAGGAATCAGACCTGAGTCATCTCTCTGTGGCCATTACTTGGCCCTGAACTAGGCTCAATCCAACACCTACAGAAGGCACTACTTCCTAGGGAAGAGATCCACCTCTGGGGCGGGCAGATCCTGGTTGGGATCCTGGCTCTGACACTTGATAGCTTGGCCAAATTCCTTGCTGGCCAGTAAAATGGCTTGCTGAGTCCAGAAGTGAGGCTGTAAACCACCTGCCTGAATTGCCATGATAGTCATTATCTCTCAATCCCACGGAGAGCAGGGCAAGATAGGCCCCTTAATATTTGGTACCTGGACTTGGGTGGTCCAGATGTCTAAGATAAGTGGGGGAGAAGTTAGGATGGGGTTTGTCCTTCTCTGCCCCAATTAATGTCTTCCTCTCCTTGTACCCCATGCCATCTAGAAAACAGAGTTTAAAAAGAAGAACTGAATACTGATGTTTATTCTGGGAAGTATAAACCCAAGCACTAGGAGTGAAGCAGAAAAAAATGGGAAATAATGCAAGTGATGCATTCCTAATCCCAGCACTGACTTATGGCCAGCCTTGAACAAGCACAGCAGGTGTGTCCACCAGCTGCTAAGAAAGTCTCCCCATAGGCTGTACTGCTGGGGAGAAACAATGCCTTGCAACAGTTCATGGAAGGGAGAGAAGACTTATCTGCCTGGTTCTCTCCTGTCTCCCCTTTCCCATTCTAAAAATTTAACTCCGGCACACTTCTAGGTTGCTCTGTTACATGGGATGCCTATTCTCACGTCCTGTAGTGAGGCATTCCATCTAAGTCTGATGGAAGGAAACAAACTCTGGACATGTGGATGGTCAGTCTCAGAGAGTTCAGTATTTTCTGGAAGATGAAATTGGCAGTGTTCACAGACCTTCCCCACAGTCACTGGTTAGTGAGTGGTAAGTTCAAGATTGGAATGTAGTTGGGCTCTGGAAACTATCGAAGATCAAGATGAACTTGGATTTTACATACAGGGCTAAGCTGGGGAGTGACATGAGATAAAGAGCTTTTTAATAAAGCTCTCCATCTCTGTGCACCATCTTTCCATCTGGCTAATGGCATAAACATGTGGGTGGCCCCAGGTTGTGGGGACATCCAAGACGGTTTCTGAGGGTTTTGTGGAATCCCTCATGGAGTCCAAACCTTCAACTGAGCTTCAGCACCGCCTCCTAGTCTTCCTCTGGCTCCATCTACACCAACACCTACCAAAGAAATGAACTGGTCAGAGAGAGGCAGGATCTAGGTAGAGAAGTCAAAATGAGCGGAGGAAACACAGCTAAAGGTTAGGAGCACAAGCACCGTCCACCTGTCCACTGTTGGTTCCAGGCTGTGCAGATCCTGGCTCTGCGGCTCCTGGCATCCGCTGATGAATCTTCTGGTGTTGCTTGAGATGGTCAGATCTCATGAACTGGCGGCCGCACTGATCACACCTATGAGGTCGATACCTGGTGTGTATCCGCATATGTCGTCCAAGCTCATCGGAACGGAAGAAAGACCAAGTGCAGCCTTCCCAACTGCATCTATAGGGCTTCTCCCCTGACAAGTGACAAGGGAGAGATGAGATTAAATAGAATAGGCCAAAGGTGGGATGGAAGGACTCTGACTTTAAGGCAGAGGATTTGGGGTTGAGGAATCAAACGGGAAGCTATAAGAACTAGGGAGAGGGTGATACCCACAATAGTGCCTGCCCTTCCCTATCATACTGGCACAGTCATTCTGGATGGAAGTTGGTGTGACCAATAGGGCTTGGAAGATGAAAGGCTAATAATCCCAATTACAAATCCGTAGTCCAGCACAGAGCAAAAGTCCAGAGACATCTCTAGCCCCTCCCCAGCTGACACCTCATTTACCTGTGTGTTTTCGCTGGTGACTCACGAGGTGGGAGCGCTTGGTGTACGCCTTTCCACAGTTATTATACACGCAGAGGTAAGGCCTCGACGCTGAGGATTGTCTCCTGGGTGCCCTTTCCCGGGCCCTGGAGTTTTCTGCTCTCTGTGGAGCAGGTATGGGCTGCTCAGGTAGAAAAGGGCCTTCCTGGGAGTTTGACTGATTCACAAGAGAGTTCTGTGTTTCTAAACTCAGCAATGATTGAGACCCAGCTGAGGGCATCTCAAGGCCATAGGAATCTCTGGGGGGCAACAACTGAGCCACTGATGGGAGCACAGACTGGGCCTCACAGGAAGACATGGTTGGTGTCAATAACGTTTTAAATGTTGAAGCTCTGGTGGAAGGCACTGTTGGGGGACCAGAAAATGGCATTGTTGGGGCACTGGAGTGGGACATCATTAACGTCTCATTGGAAGCTGAGACTGGTGGCCCACTGGAAGGCATCCTTGGATTCTCACTGAAGGTCATGACCACTACTGGAATACAGGCTTCTCCTAAGGGCATCACCTGGGACCCAGGCTGGGAGGGAGATACTCCCTGCTGATATATCTGGGAAGAAATGGGAGTGGCTTGGCGACAGTAGTGCACACCATGCTCAGGTAGTGACATACTGAACTGTGACCCTGCCTCACCCACGTTCTGCTTGGATGCATCAGCAGAGACAAAACTGGTCCTCAACATCTCTGTGCCTTGAGGATAGCATTGAATGCCTGGTGGACCATGGTTCCAAGAAGTGTGCACTCCACTGTTTCCAGAAGTCAGAGACATATCCAAGATGGACATTGACTTCTCATTATCCTAGGAAAGAGAAAGAGAAATTTACCCTAACTCTTATTTATTTCCTTCCTATAACAGGGTTTGAACTCGGAGCCTCGTGCTTGCTAGGCAGGTGCTCTACCACTTGAGCCACTTAACCAGGCCTTTTGTGTTTATTATTTGGGAGATGGGGTCTCACAAACTACTCACCCACGCTGGCTTTAAATCACGATCCTCCTGATCTGTCTCCAGAGTAGCTAGAATTACAGGCATGAGCCGCCAGCACCTGGCTCCTAACTCCATTTCTAGATCTCCTTCCTATCCTCAGACCCCATACTAATCCAGGCTTCCATAACCTCTGGTCTGAATTATCTTGCCTGCAGACAGCTCCGAGGCTTGGGCTTTCTGAGATACAGGTCTGGTGGACAGGAGCATAATGGAATCCAAGATGTAATTCATGCCACTTTCATACAAAGCAACAGAGAGAAAATAAAATAGTCCATAACCTACACCCTCAGCAAAACTTCAAGAAAATATTCAAATTCCAAATTACTCATTGAGTGTGTGGGTGAAAGAACATTCCAGACTGTGACTGGTAGGTAGGTTAGGAAAGACATTGGTGGTGGAAGCTTTTGAAATAGAATAGTATCCAAAAATCCTATCTTTAAAACCTGTATATTATTATAGCAATAGAAAAGGGAGCTCTTGAGCTAAGAAGCTGGGATGGTTACCCTGTACCTCCCATCCACTCCTTCGTTGGGATGGTCCAGAAAAGACCCATCTATTCAAATATGATAAGTTACAGTAGTCATAAAAGATACTGAACTGTGTGTAGTGGTGTATGGCTGTAATCCCAGCACTTAGGAGGCTGAGGCAAGAAGATCATGACTTCGAGGCTAGTCTGGGCTACATAGTGAGAACCGCGTCGCCGGTGCCTGCGCCTCCTGCTCCACCTCGCTTCTCCTCTCCCGGCCGAGGCCCGGGGGACCCCAGCGAGAAGCGGGAATCATGTTCCGACGCAAGCTGACGGCTCTAGACTACCACAACCCTGCCGGCTTCAACTGCAAAGATGAAACAGAATTTAGAAACTTTATTGTTTGGCTTGAAGACCAGAAAATCAGACACTACAAAATTGAAGACAGAGGTAACTTAAGAAACATCCACAGCAGTGACTGGCCCAAGTTCTTTGAAAAGTATCTCAGAGATGTGAACTGTCCTTTCAAGATTCAGGATCGACAAGAAGCGATTGACTGGCTTCTTGGTTTAGCGGTTAGACTTGAATATGGAGATAATGCTGAAAAATACAAGGACTTAGTACCTGATAATGCAAAAAGTACTGACAATTCAACTAAAAATGCAGAACCATTGATCAATTTGGATGTAAATAATCCTGATTTTAAGGCTGGTGTAATGGCTTTGGCTAACCTTCTTCAGATTCAGCGTCATGATGATTACCTGGTAATGCTAAAGGCAATTCGCATTTTGGTTCAGGAGCGCCTAACACAGGATGCAGTTGCTAAAGCAAATCAAACAAAAGAGGGCTTGCCTGTTGCTTTAGACAAGCATATTCTTGGTTTTGACACAGGAGATGCAGTTCTTAATGAAGCTGCCCAAATTCTGCGATTGCTGCATATAGAAGAGCTTAGAGAGCTACAGACAAAAATTAATGAAGCCATAGTAGCTGTTCAGGCCATTATTGCTGATCCAAAGACAGACCACAGACTAGGGAAAGTTGGAAGATGAGCGCTGCAGGATGTCAACTTCTTACCTACTTAGTGTAAACAGGAACCATGTACCCTTCAGGCATGTGTTTGGAAATCAAATGTCACATTTTCAAGGGAGGAATCCCAGGAAATTGACTGTGTTCTAGAGATTTAACCACAACTGCTGTTTTCTTTTAATAAAGTTTGGGAAAGTGGAAAAAAAAAAAAAAAAAAAGAAAAAAAGAAAAACCCAAAAAACAACACAGATACTAAAACAGCAAAACAGAAATTGAAGATTGCAATTTCCCAGAGAAAAAGTTTACCAGAAAAAAAAATTTACACTAAGAGAAATGTAAAAACAGCTCAAATCAATTACAAGTTCTATGACATCATAGGAATGTCACAGGGCAAGAACACCAATTCAAAGAAACTATGTCCAAAGAGTTGACGTTAGGGGCTGGGAAGTTCAGTGGTACAGCATGGTCTGAGCATGCACAGGGTGGAAGAGGGCTGGTGGGGTTGCAAGTGGTAGGAGTGCTTGTCTAGCAAGTGTGAGGCCCTGAGTTCAAACCCCAGTACTGAAAAGTAAATAAATAAACAATGGGTGGAAGGGGCAAAGCTAAAGGGAAAACCTTTGGAGGAGCTTGTGTGATCCTGGCAATGTCCTATTTTTTGACCTGAGGAGCAGTTTCATAACATTCATTTTGTAATAATTTGTTAAGGTGTGAATTGCATTCACTTTCCTACTTGTGTGTTATTTTTCATAATAAAATTATTTAAAATAAATTAAAATTGTGAGAAGTGAGGATGGTCCTAGTATAAAAATCAGAAAAGTAGGGCTGAAAGTATAGTTCATTGGTAGCGTGAATGCCTAGCTGCTCCAAGTCCTGGTGAAAGAGAAAAAGGAAAAAAAAAAAAAGGAACCCCAAAAAAATTCTGGAACAGAAGACTATAACTAATAAGTAAATAAATAAATAAATAACTGAACCTAAGTGTGGCAATGTACTTGGGAGGTGGAGTCAGGAAGATTACAGGTTCCAGGCCAGCCTGGTTACAAACAGGGTTTATGAGACCCTGCTCTAACAAACAAAAATTGACTAGAGAGAATTTTTTTTTTCCAGTGAGACTGGGGTTTGAACTCAGGGCTTTGAGCTTGCAAAGCAGGCACTCTACCACTTAAGCCACACCTACAGTCCATTTTACTCTCATTATTTTGGAGATGGGGGTCTCAGAACTATCTTCTGGTGTTGGCCTTGAACCACAGTCCTCCCTATCTCAGCTTCTCAAGTAGCTAGGATTACAAGCGTGAGTCACGGCTCCTGACTAAATTGAGATTTGAGTTGGCAGAAGAATCAGTGGCTTGAATATAGGACTTGACCTGCCTTATAAGAAATGCTAATGGAGCACTTTAGGTTGAAATGAAAAGACCCTAGAAAGTAGCTTGAAGCCACAATTTTAAAAGCTAGTATTACTGTAACTTTGATTTTTAATTCCACTTTTTGTTTTCTACATAATTTAAGAGGCTAATGCATAAAGATTATAAAAACCTATATTTTTGAGCATACAATGCATAAAAATGTAATGCCATAAAGTATAATACTATAAAAATGTATGTGTGCTATTCAAATTTAGCTGATATAAATTCAAATTAGTGTTATAACTTCAGGATGTAAAATGGAATCCCTGTGGTAACCACAAAGAAAATAGTTATAGAATATGTACAAAAGGAAATGAGAAGAGAATTTATAAGTTTCACTACTGGGCTGGGGATGTAGCTCAGTGGCAGAACTCTTGCCTGGCACGTGCAAGTCCCTGGGTTTGACCCCCAGCACCACGACAAATAAAACTTCACTATAAAACACAAATCAACTAAACAAAAAGGACATAATGGTGGAAGTGAGGGACAAAATGGCAGAACTAAATCCCTCCTTGTCAGTAAATACTTTAAACATAAGTGGATTATACACTCCAATCAAAAGACAGATTGGCAGAAAGGATTTATTTTCATTTGTTTACTTATTTGCAATACTGGGGTTTGAACTCAGGGCTTCACACTTGCTAGGCAGGCACTCTGCCACTTGAGCTACTCAGCCAGCCCAATGTTGTATATGCATGTGTTGGATATTTTCAAGGTAAGGTCTCAAGAACTATTTGCCTGGGCTGGCTTTGAACTGCGATCCTCCTGATCTCTGCCTCCTGAGTAGTTAGAATTACAGTTGTGAGCCACCAGCACCCAGCCAGAAAGGATTTTCTAAATGTGATACAACTGCATGCTATCTACAAGAGACTCTTGGACGCAAAGACCAAAGACACAAGTAGGATTTAAGTGAAAGGATAGAAAAAAACATTCCATGCAAAAATAAAAGTGGTTATCTAACAGACAAAAGGCTCTAAATCAAAAAAGATTACAAGAAACAAAGGACATTAAATACTAGTAGAGTTCAATACAGCAAGACAAAACAACCATAAACAACAATCAGTCAGAAGATAAGAAAAAAAAAAAGAAATGAATGACAAAATAAACAAATCAGATCTAACAGATATATAGAACATTCTACCAAAACAGAATACACATTCTTCTCACGTGCAAATGAGGCAGTCTCCAATATAGCTCATATGATAGTTCACAGGCCCATTCTTGATAGACCTTTTTAAAAATAGAAGAGTCAGGCATATCTAATGTAATCCTAGCTACTTGGGAGGCTAAGATCAGGAGGATGACTGTTCCAGGCCACCCAGCATAGATAGTTCTTGAGACCCCCATCTCCAAAATAACCAGAGCAAAATGGACTGGAGGTGTGGCTCAAGCAGTAGAGCACCTGCTTTGCAAGCGTGAAGCCCTGAGTTCAAGTCCCAGTCCAACCAAAAATAAAAATAAAACAAAAAACATATGACACCAAGTGTGCTGTCTGACCACAACCAGATGAAGTTAGAGACCAATAACTAGAAAATTCCTAAGTTTATGGAAATGAACACCGTTCAATAGACAATGAGTCAAACAAGAAATCATAGGGAAAATTTAAAAAGTACTTAAGAGATAAATGAAAATGAAAATACATTAAACTTTATAGGATACAGCAAAAGTAGTGATATGGGGGAAGTATAGATATAAATGTATTTAACAAGATCTCAGATCAACAACTTAACTTTATACCTTAAGGAATTAAACAGAATAAACCCAAAAACTAGCAGAATGTAGGGACTAGAAGAAAATCAATTAATATAAAAGTGGGTTCTTAAGAATGAACAAAATTACCAAACCTTTAGCTAGACTGAATAAAGAGAAACAAAAGACTCAAAATACTAAGATGAGAAATGAAAGTGAAGCGTATTACCAGTTCTACAGAAAATAAAAAGGATTGTAATACAAGTGGAGCAATTGTATACCAATAGGATAACATGGATGAAATGGACAAATTCCTAGAAACACAAAACCTATCAAGTTTAAATCACAAAGTCAAGTGCTGGTGGCTCACACCTGTAATCCTAGCAGAGATAAGGAGGATCTTGATTCAAAGCCAGCCCCAGGCAAATAGTTCAAGAGACCCTATCTCAGGGGGAAAAAGTCAACACAAAATAGGGCTGGTAGAATGGCTCATGTGGTAGAGCACCTGCCTAGAAAGCATGAGGTCCTGAGTTCAAACCCCATACCACCAAAAAAAAAAAAAAATTATATCACAAAGAAATAGAAATCTGAATGGATGACTAAAGAGATTGAAACAGTAATCAGAAGTTCCCCAAACAAGGAAGCCCTAGACTTGATGGCTTTGCTGGTGAATTCTAACAAACACTTAAAAATCTAACTCTAATTTAGAGGTAATACAAGAGATGAATACCAAGCTAAGTGATACCATGAGAAAACAATCTGATAAATCCAGGATGATAGTGAGGATGACGAAAAACCAAATGTCAACTCTAAAAAAAAAAGAAAGAAAGTGTGTCATTTCTAGAAGGCTCAAGAAAAATAATACCAGGTGCCATGTGTTTTTCTTAAAATTGGATCCTGGTTTGGGCAGATATCTGTAAAGGACATTTTAGGGACAACTAGAGGACTTTGAATAAGGATTGGATCTAAGGCGATAAAGAAGTTTTCATTAATTGACAGGTTTGATAATGTTTTGTCTGTAGAGGAAAATGTTTTTGTTTGGTTTTTGGCAGTTTTGGTAATACTGGGGTTTGACTCAGTTCTCACAATTGATAAGCAGGTGTTCTACCCAGTTGAATCATGCCCCTTGTCCTGAAAATGTTCTTTTTTAAAAACCCTAGAAGACTTGGAGAGAGTCGGTCTGTTTTATTCATAATTGTTTGCTCAGCAACCACTATAAAGTAGACACACAATCAATACCATGTAAAAATTATTAAGTGGGTATTTTTTTTTTTTTGATACTAGGGCTTGACCTCAAGGCCTATACCTTGTCCCACCGCCCCCCACCTTTTGCGATGGCTTTTTTCAAGATAGGGTCTCACACACTATTTTCCCCGGGCTGACTTCAACCCACTATCCTCCTGATCTCTGCCTCCTGAATAGCTAGGATTACAGGCATGAGCCACCAGCATCTGGCATGGGTGGGTATTCTTTTCAGGGTACTCAGCCTTTTTCCTCCCTCTCAGGCCCTCTTGCTTTCCAATCTTTCATAGGCAATCCTTAAGTTGTCTAAACCTTTACTACTACCTCCCCTTATTCCCCCAAATTTGCACTGGTCCCCATCTCTCCACAGAACCATCTTTCGTAAAAGTCACTGACCGCCACATAAATAAGCCCAAGCAACACTTCTACTTCTCAGACCTTGCTTGTACTCTCAGGAAAGTTTGAGACTACTGGTCACACTCTCCTTAAAATGTGTCCTTCCTTTGGCCTCCCTAACACAGGGCACTTTCCTGGCTTTGTTCGATCCCTTCCTCCAGTCTCTCTCAACTTTCTCTTACTCCGAGTTCCCTGGGGATTCTCTCCCATGTCAATGGATCCATTTCTACTTATATTCCATTTGTTCTTAAATCTATAGCTCCGGGGAAGATCCTTCTTGAGTTTCTCAACTGCTTACTATTCAGGTCCATTTGGACAGCTCATAGGTACTTCAAATGGTCTGTGTCCAAAACTCAGGTGCATCATTGCTCATCACCCCTTATCAGTCACCCAAAGCCTTATTAACCCTACTTTCTTGTCCTTTGCTCTCCCAGAAACTGTCACCACTATTTTCACACAATTGTGCAAGTGGGAAATATGTTAAATTATCCTGGATGCCTCCTTCACCACCTAGATCCAAGTACAGTTGTCTTTCAGTATCCACAGGGGATTGGTTCCAAGACTTCTATCCACAGACATTCAAGTTCCTTGTAGTAAATGACATAGTATTTTCATATAACCTGCACATTCCCCTGTACACTTTATATCATCTTTACATTACTAATAATACATAAATACAATGTAATGCTAGATAAATAGTTATTATACTATATTCTTTAGGGAATACGACAAGAAAAATTTATACATGTTCAATACAGACACAATTTTTTCTGAATACTTTTGATCCTCAATTGGTTGAATCTACAGATGCAGAACTCTCAGATATGGGCAAATATAATTACCAAGTCTTGTGTTTCTACTTCCAAAAAATTTCCAGAATCTGTCAGTTTCTCCTTCCCCAGTCCCTTTTCTTTAGTTAAGCTGCCATTTTAATTCTCACCTGGATTACCATAATAGCTTTCTAACTATAGCTTTAAAGTCAACCCCCATCATCTCCAGGGCAAATCTAATTGTGACAGATCATGCTTAAACTCATCAAGGCTTCCTATTGCTCTTGGAATAGCCAACTCCATCCAGGGACCTCATGCTCCTTGTCTCCCCTCCCTTTGGGCTACTCTTCCATCTCTTTCTCTTGACCTTGGTCACAGTCAGTTTGGAGGATCTTAAAGTTCCCCCAAAGCAAAATCACACTGCCTCTGGTCTCAGGACCTGAAGACCCTTCAACTACCCAGACCAAACCCTCACCTGTCTTCTGACCTCCCTGAATCAGATCAAACATCTCTGCCATTTGTTCCTTCAGCTGCTTGTATTTCTTCAAGGCAACTTGTACACTTCCAACTTATTAATAAAGTGATATGGGGCTGGGGTGTACCTCAGTGGTAGAGTGCTTGCCTGGCATGTGTGAGGCCCTGGGTTTGATTCCCCAGCACCACAAAAATAAATAATAAATAATCAAGTTATAAAATGAGGGAGTATAACATCTTAAGGCAAACCCACAATTGCAATTAGAGGGGTTAATTGATCTACTGGAGCAAAGGACTCTCATAAGTTTTTTGTTTCCGTTCTTGTTTTGTGGTAGGTACTGCCTCACACTTGCTAGGCAGGTTCTTTTACCTCTTCAGTCCCTCCACCGGCCCTTCCAATACGTTTTCCCTCCTGTCTTCTCCTTGCTGACTTCTTAACTTTGTCTTTGCTTCCCAGGGTATACACGCCCTTGTCCGAGAAGCTGCAAGGGACTCTTCTACCTCACAGCCCCCGAAAACAGGTTCTGATGCTCAGTGAGTATTAATTTAACAAATGACACTTTTTGTCATTTATTAAACGACGTCCGGCTTGTGCTCCTTCCCACCCATTTCTGCTTCCCTCCACCTGCCCATCCTCCACCACCACCACCACCACCACCACCATCACCCTGCAGCCACCCTGGGACTAACACCCTACTTACCAGGGCGGGCTGGTGCGCTGTGGGCCACTGCCTCAGCTCCTCAGCTCCCTGTTCCATGGCAGCCTCAGGCCAGCTGCACTTCGGAATAATGGCGATTCAGATCCACTGGAGAGCATAGGGAAGGCCCGTTGCCGCAGCAGCGTCGCAGGCAGGAGCACGCCACAATCACTGCGTTGAGCTTCTACTTACCCACCGCGCGGGGGGCGGAGTCAAGGCCGCACCCACCTGCCCCACCCATCAGTCTTCCAGTCTTCCACCTGCCCCGCTCCTGCTGCCACCGCTCCTCCTCCACAGCCATCAAGGTCCACAGGGTCACACTGTCAGGGGACCTCAGACCTTTATCACTTCTTAAAGTCATTATGTGCGCCCCACCCTACTTACATCCACCAATTTTAAGGCTGAGCAACTCTCTTTGACCCAGGTGGGAGCTGGGGACCCCCAGATCTGAGACTCCAGCCAGGCCTCCTTGACCTGCAAGTGGAGAAAGGCTAGAGAGAGTGGCAGGACAGGTGCAGAGGGACACCACTACACCACCAGACCTGTTCTTGCCATAAGCCTTTGGAGGTTCTGCTAAGGCTGGGCACAACTGTCCCTTGCATATACAAACCAAAGCTTGGGCCTTCCATTCCACTGCCTGTTCTACAAGCGGCACTGGGAATTGAGCCCAGGGCCTCAGGACACTGCTCTAGCGCTTGAGCCACGCCTCCCAGACCTTTTGTATTTTGTCTTGGAGATAGGGTCTGCTAAGTTTGTCCTCACTGGTCTCAAACTTGTGATCCTCCAGCCTTGGCCTCCAGAATGAATGCTGGGATTACAGACATGTGCAACCATTCACAGTGTATTTCACAGTGTAGACTGTGTGCCCACCATGTGTGGGACACTGTGAATTAGAGATACAATGGTAGATAAGACAGAACAAAGTCCTTGCTCTCAAGGATTTCTATCCTAAATAGGCAGACAAGAGATGATCATCAAGTCAGGATTTTATATAATTTTGGGGGGAAGGAGGGAGATCTATGGAGAAAACAAAGCTGGAAAGAAGTGTGAATGTTGGAAAGTAGCCTGCCCTAGGAAGATGGGAGGGTCTGAGGCAAGAATGAGTGTGACCTTGCTAGAAGGAAAATAGGAAAGTCAGGAGCCAACAGTGAACCAAACAAGGGGTAGAGTGGTGTGGCATGAGGACAGAGGGATACACAGGGCCTAGTTTAGCTTTATTTCCTCAACAAATAGGACAGGTTCAAGGACAAAAAAGTTATTGAATAAATGCAGGATGAATAGATTAATGCTTTGGACCAATGTGAGAGAATCTAAAGTAATAGAATTGGCAGAACTTGGCACTGCCTTGAATTGATGCTGGGGGAAGAGAGACATCTACCTCTAGTCCCTGGGACGTGGCTGACGCTATTCCCTAAGATAGAAAACACCAGAAAGGAGCAGATTCAGGATGTGGACAGGTGATGGGTTCATTTGTGAACAGGTTGACGTGAGGTTACCTATGAGGTATCCAAATGGGGGTGTCTGGGAACCAGTCATGTCTGGCACATGGAGATGATTAGTAACTTTGTCAAATGAAGAGGTAGATAGGTCCTTAAATCTATTTTATGCCAAGCCCAATTTTTCTTTATTAGCCCCTTTCTACTCTCTCTCCCTCTCTCTCTCTTTTGAGACAGGGTCTAGCTATGTATGCCAGGCTGACCTCAAACTTACTATGTAGCCCAAACTGGCCTGGAACTCACAATCCTCCTGCCTCAGCCTCCAGAGTGCTGGCATGACATGACAGGTGTGCATCACCGCACAGGGTTCCCTATTCTGCTCTCAAACTACATGGCATTTCTGGGGCTGGGAGTAGATTGAGAAAGATGATCAGAAAAGGCAAGACTAGGAAGCAGGAAAGTTTGGGGCAGAATTAGAAAACACTGGAGAAAGCTAGAGAAACCTCCAGTTATGAACCTGGAGGTTACGCTGGGGGTAGGTGGGACAGCCACACAGGATAGTGGGAGGAGAGAAGAGGCTGAAAAAGAAAGCTAGAGTCAACTTAAACTTTGCCATGAATCACAGCTGGAAATTTCCTGTAAGCCTAAAATTGTTCAAGTTTGAGGCCATCCTTGGCTACATAATGAGACTGTCTTTAAAAAAAGAAAAGAAAAGTGAACAAAAGTGCAAGGACTACACTACTGCATGTAATAGCAAAAGAAATCTGGAAACAACCTAAGTAGTTACCAAATAAGATAATAAATAAATTGTGGTAGGGTCAAATGATGGAATTTTAATTAATGAGGACAAATGAATTAGAATGTCATGTATCATAAATCATAAAACTGCAATTGGCTAAATGCAATGTGTATCCTGAGTTGGATCCTGAAATAGAAAAGAAACATTAGTGTAAAAGCTGGTGAAATCTGAATAAAATTTATAATTTAAGTTTTTTTTTCTTTTTTGGCAGCACTGGGGTTGGAACTCAGGGCTTTATGCTTGCTAGGCAGGCACTCTACCACTTGAGTCATTCCGCCAGACTGAGAAGAAGGAGTACATATATACATACATATATATATGTGTGTGTGTGTGTGTGGTTTGTTTATTTTTTCAGCACAGGGGATTATTGAACCCAGGGCCTCCCACAAGCTAGGCAAGTGCTTCTACCACAGAGCTACATCTCCAGCTCTTAGTAATGTAATACCAATGTTTATTTCTTAGGCTTTGGGGGGGTTTTTTGTTTATTTTGCAATAATGGAGATCGAACTCAAGGCCTCGAGCACGGTAGCCAAATGTTGTGCCACTGAGCTTTGTTAACATTAGCAAAAACAGACTGAAGGTAAACAGTAACTTCTGGCACTACCTTTGCAACCGTTGCAATCTTTCTGTGAGTCTAAAATCATTTGAAAATCAAAGGTTTTATTTTAGTTCAGGGGAGTGGTACAAGTCTGTAATCCTACCACTCAAGAAGCTGAGGTAGGAGGATTAAAGTTAGAGGCCATTCTGGGCTATATAGTAAGAGTGTCTTTAAAAAAAAAAAAAAGTTAACAAAAAAAACTTATTGTAAAAATGTAAGCTTAGTTTGTTGCCTGTGGTTCAGGTCTGCAATCCTAGCTACTCAAGAGGCAGAAATCAGGAGAACTACAGTTCAAAGCCTGCCCAGGCAAATAGTTCATGAGACCCTAACTTGAAAATATCCAACACAAAAAAGGGCTGGTGGTCTGGGTCAAGTGGTAGAGTGCCTGCCTAAGCCACAATGAGGCCCTGAGTTCAAACCCCTGTATAGCCTACAAAAAGTACTTGTGTAGCATACAAAAGGCCTTCAGTCCTGCAAACAGAGAGAGAAATGTGCTAAGAAATGTAAGCTCAAAGAAGTTGCGGAAGAATTCACAGCATTTAGGAAAAGTTGTAAAACTTGTAAAATAATACTAGATATTGTTTATGGCTATATACAGCTTATTTAATAAAAATATAAAAACATTCATGGGAATGATAAAGACCTAATTTAAGATAGTAAGATTAAGAAAAACATTGTGCTTTTGTGTTCAACTAAATTGAAGTGTGATTCTGACAAACTTTTGAAATCAGCAGTAATTAGGTTCTTGTACATCAGCTAAATACAATTCCCAAGATCTTTAATTAACTTTAAAACCTAGGATAAATATTAAGTACCTTTGCTTCTTATTTTTATATATTATGAAACAGCTTGATTGTTGGCTCAATTTAATGAAGATTGTTAATAATTGCCATTTTAAGAAGGTGCAGGAAAAGATGTTTGTGGAGGGTCAGATGTTTTCATAAACTACTGGGTTGATAAAATGCTTGAAGATAATAGTTCTCCATGATCTATATTCCTAGTTCTTTCTTTGAAATAGAGGTTAGTTGTATGCACATATGAATAAAAAAAAAAAAAAGAAAAGAAATAGAGGTTAGTTACTTAGGTAAAAGTCACAATAAACCGGGCATCAGTGGTTTATGCTGTAATCCTAGGTACTCTGGAGGCAGAGATTAGGAGGATCACAGTTGGAAGCTAGTCCCGGGCAAATAGTTCAGGAGACCCTATCTCGAAAAACCCTATCACAAAAATAGGGCTGATGGAGTAGCTCAAGGTGAAGGCCCTGAGTTCCAGCTTTACTACTGCAAAAAAAAAAAAAAAAAAAAAAAGAAGAAGAAGAAGAAATAAAGAAAAGAAAAAAGTTACAGGAAGAGTGACCAGAATATAAGAGAAGCAATAATGGCTGAGAAGTATATCTGGTAAAGCCAGAAAAAGGCATATATTTGCTTCTAGTTCAAAATTAATAAATAAGCCTGACTTATCCAAAGATTGAAACTTGCTTGAACTTGGACTCTAGTATAAAATCCCTCTAAGCCAGCAGCTTCTGAGAAAGGTTTTGTTTTGTTTATCCCATTTAAAGTATTAGAAGTTTAGCTCCCTTGTTTTCTGTGAGTTTTGATCAAATTGGATTTACATAAGCTCTTACTAGCCTTGGTAAGCCAATCAAAACAAAGCTCCTTTAAATCTTTATAATCTCATTGTTAATGCCCTGGGGAAGGCAAAAAATAATTCCACACTCAGCAATGAGATGTAAGGTTGGTCCTGCTCAGGGCTGCAGATGCACTGGTTCCCAACTGAGGTTTTGCAGCTCCATTACTTGTCAGAGTAGACACAGCCACAAACACTCAGCCACATCACCAACTGCTCTTCTTCCCAATGGGCACAAAAGATTTGATTTGTGGTTTGATCACAGATTAAGTGATTTGATCTCACAGCAACTCAACAAACAAAAAGACCCACCAAACCAGACTCTCTCATTGTTCACTCAACAGAAACCAGATCCCATCATTCACCCAGTGCAGAACTCCAATGGACAAACCATGAGAGAAATCCCATGGGGAAACACATTCAGACTTTCACATACACACACATTGTATTAATATCCATTAACTGTACAAAATAATGGGTTTAATTACATTTCCATGCATGCATGTAACACACTTTGGTCACATTTACTCAACTTATTTCCCTCTTTGTCACCTCCCTTCGCAACTGGTCCCCATGTTTTCCCTTCTACTTTCATGTCTTTTTTTTT